AAGGTGGGAAATTTTTTTAGGCTTTGGATGGCCAACGTTGAATATGAATCTGCTAAAGAATCATCCGAAAGTGCGCATTGGCAATCTTGGCTTATTTGAACAGAAGATGAAGCAGTTTATGGGTAATGGACCGGACAACTTTATGGTTAGTTTACTAAACTGTTCCTAGGCATTTTTTTTTGAAAAAAAAAAGCGTATTACGCTGATATCAGCCAACTTATCTGCACATTCACATAGCCATCTCCGTTGAAGATTGTATGAATGAATTGGAAGACAGTTTGAAATTGGTGAACATCCGCTAAAGGATGCCATTTTAGGACTTGTGTTTGTTTCAATGCTTATGGAACTGCCTGGATTTCAAGATTAATTTTGGGCTTTGAAAAGGACCATTTCTCTTTTACGTAATTTATTTTGCTTTTCTGTGTGCGCTGCTCATTATGCGCTTTGAGCTGTTTAACAGCAGTACAAAACGCATGTTGTCACGGGGTTTGTGTGTGTGTGTGTGTGTGCGTGTGTGTGTATGTATGTATGTATGTATGTATGTATGTATGTATGTATGTATGTATGTATGTATGTGTATCCCACATTTTGTCCCGCAATTTCAACTCGAGAACCACAAAAGCTAAACGGCTGAAATTTCAGTATAGTGTTCCCCGCCAGCGGGTAACGTGGCAAATTTAAATTCAACCTTCCCGTACCCGCGGGTAACACGTACGGCTCCGTAAAAGTTTTTCGGGTAAAATCAGTATCTCGAGAACTACGGAAGCTAGGAAGCTAAAATTTTATGGGTATGTCCCCTGACCACGTGCAACCCAGAAAGCTTAAATTCAACCTTCTTGTACCCGTAGCAACACGTACGGCCCTGTGAAAATTTTTGGTGGGTAAATTATTATCTCGGAACCACGGAGTCTACGAAGCTAAAATTTTAGGGTTGCGACCCTTTGTCGACGAACGATCGTGCAAATACATATTCAGCGTTCCCCGCGCTCTTAAATATCATCTACAGGCTAATGTTTTTACGGGTAAATTATTATCTCGGGAACCATGAAGTCGAGGAAGCTGAAATTTTAGGGTAATGGCCCTTTGCCCACGCTCAACCTTGCCTATTCAAATTGAGCGTTCTTGCGCTCTTGAGTGTCTAGTGAAAGTTTTTACGGGTAAACCATTAACTCGGGAATCACCGAAAGGTG